GTGCTTTCATGTTGGGTGCATACATATTTAACAATTATTATATCTTCTTGTTGGATTGTCCCCTTAATTTATAATATTATATAGTGTCCTTTTTGTCTTCTGTTCCAGTCTTTGTTTTAAAGTCTATTTTGTCTGATATCAGTATTTTTACTCTGGCTTTCTTTTGAGATTCATTTGCATGATAGATGTTTTTCCATCCCCTCACTTTCAATCTGCCGGGTGTCTTTTGGTCTGAAATGAATCTCTTGTAGGCAGCATATAGATAGGTATTGTCTTTTTATCCATTCTGTCACCCTGTGTCTTTTGATTGGAGTGTTCATTCAGAGTGATGATGATGATGGTGACGATGATGATGATTACTATTTTTTAGAGAGAGAGAGAAAGAAAGAAAGAAAGAAAGTGGGGGAGAGCGGCAGACAGAATCTTAAGCAGGCTCCATGCTTAGCATGGAGCCAGATGCGGGGCTCATTCCCACAACTTTGGGATCATGACCTGAGCCTAAATCAAGGGTCAGACGGTCAACTGACTGAGCCACCCAGAAGCCTTGCACAGAGTAATTATTAATAGGTGTGTATTTATTGCTCTTTTATTACATGTTTTGTGGTTTCTAAAGATTTTCTCTGATCCTTTCTTTCATGGTTTGCTGGTTTTCTTTAGTGATATATTTGGATTTCTCTTTATTCTTTGCATATTTATTAATGATTTTTGATTTGTGGTTACCATTAGGTTTGTATATAACATCTTTTGCATATAGCAGCCTGTATTAAGTTGATGGTTGTTTAAGTTTGAACCCATTCTTTGTTCCTCTTCTCCCCACATTTTCGGTATATGTTATTACATTTTATATCCTTTTATTTTGTGAGTTCCTTGACTGATTTCTTTACAGAAGTATTCAGTTTTACAGCTTTGTGTATCCTACCTTCATAGTGTCATTTTTGATCTTTCCACTCAGAGTCCCCTTTAATATTTTTTGCAGGGCTGGTTTAGTGGTCATGAACTCTTTTTGTTTGTCTAGGAGACTCTTTATCTCTCCTGTTCTGAATGATAGCCTTACTGGATAGTGTTTCTTGGTTGCAGGTTTTCCTCGTTCAACACTTTGAATATATCATGCCACTCCTTTCTGGCTTGGAAAGTTTCTGCTGAAAAATCTGCTGATAGCCTTATGGGGTTTCCTTTGTATGTAGTTGTCTTTTTTTTCTTTTTCATGCTGCTTTTAACATTCTTTTTCTTTATTACTATATTTTGCCATTTTAATTACAATATGTCTGGGTGTGGGTCTGCTTTTGTTAATTTTGTTGAGGGTTCTCTGTGCCTCCTGGATCTGACTATCTGTTTCCTTCTCAGATTAGGAAAGTTTTCAGCTGTTATTTCTTCAAATAAATTCTGTCTCCTTTTTTCTGTCTTCTTCTGAGACTCCTATAATGTGAATGTTACTGCCGTTTGATGTAGTCACAGAGTTTGCTAGGTCTGTTCTCATTTTGTATAATCCTCCTTTCTTTTGTTTGTTCAGCTTGATCACTTTCCATTGTTCTGTCTTCTAGGCCATTAATTCGTTCCTCTGCATCTGCCAGCCTGCTGTTCATTCCTTTAGGCGTGTTTCTTATTTTATTTATTGATCCCTTTATCTCTGCTGTTAGTCCTTATCTCTGTGTTAATGGTCTTACTGAGGTCCTCTACTCTTTTCTCAAATCCAGTGAGTATCCTTATGATCACTGCTTTAAGTTCTCTATCAGGCATTACTTCTGTCTGTTTTGTTTAGATCTCCTGCTGTGGCCTTGTCCTGTTCTTTCATCTGGGAGAGATTCCTCTGTCTTCTCATTTTGTCTAAGTCCCTGTGCCTGTCTCTCTGTGTTAGGAAAGTCAGCTGTGTCTCCTGTTCTTGAGGGTAATGGCTTTATTTAGAAGAGGTCCTGTAGTGCCTTGCAGTGTAGTGTCCCTTGTTCCCCCAGGGTCTGGTGCTTCAGGGGGTGTCTCCAATGTGTGCTGTGTGTGCTTTGCTTTTTTGCAAGCCAGTTGTCTGCAGAGGGTCTCTTTGTTGGTAGGCAGTGTTTGGTCCCTAGCCTGAACGTGACTGAGTTTTAACTAGGTGTGTTCTGGTCTGTTTGTGAAATGTGTCCTTTTGCCACCGCCAAGGGAGCCAAGGCCCTGCGAAACTTGGGGCTCCGCTGTGCTGGGACTGAAGCAAGTGTGACTGGGAGGGCAGTTGTACTGGAGTGCAGAGGGTGGGGGCTTAGTGTAAGCAAGTTAGGTAGTATTGGTGCTGCTTCCCGCAGGTGGCCCTGTGCTTATGCTGAAGCGGTGGGGAGGGAAATGGCACTGGCCAGGGATTTCTCCATGAATGCTGTTTCTCAGCAGTGCCCTGTGAGATGAGCAAATACACTCCCCCACTGTGTACCCCATGCACTCTTCAGGTCACTGTTTCCACACTGTATGTCTGTGGACTGTTTGCCCTGCCTTTTCTCTAAGAGCAGCCCCGATGTCCTCCCAGCGCTCCCAGAGCCAAGTATGCTGACCTTTAAAACTCCAGGCTAAAAACCCTGCTGGTTGCAAGAACTCAAGAAATTCAGGCCCTTGTGCTCTCCAAGCCAGTTACTATGGGGATTCCTTTTCCCTATGCACTCCTCTGTGGCTAGTTTGTCTCTGTCTCTTGCCCTTCTTCACGACCCTGGCTCCCTCCCCATCACAGTGGTCATAATCCATTTCTTGCCCAAACCACATCTCCGCACTTCCTTTCTTCTTTGATGTGGCCTCTTTTCTACCCTTAGTTGTGGAGTTTGTTCTGCTAGTCTTCAAGTCAATTTCTAGGGTATTTAGAATGATTTGATAGTTATCTAGTTATATTTGTGGGATGATGAGAGCATAGGGTCCTCCTACTCCCTCGGCATCTTCCTTCCCCTGGAATTGAAACTCTTAAGAGTTTGTAACTCTTTGTATATGAAGTTTGTGATTTGATAGGAAATAAATATCTTCTTGACTTTTTAAAGCATTGGGCATGTTTAAAATTTGTTTCTAATTTGGGTATAGTTGACATACAATGTTATATTAGTTTCAGGTGTTTAACATAGTGATTCAACTTCTCTGTATGTTATACTATGCTCACAATGTGTGTAGCTACTGTCTACAGACCATACAGTGCTATTACAGTATTATTTACTATATTTTCTAGGCTGTACCTTCTGTTTATGTAACTTATTCATTCCATAACTGGAAACCTGTATCTTCTACTCCCCTTCACCCTTTTTTGCCCATCCCCTCCTCCCGTGCCCGTCAGTTCCCTCTGGCAACCATCAGTTTCTTCTCTGTATTTATAGGTTAGACTCTGGTTTTTGTTTATTAATTTGTTTTTTAGATTCCACATATGAGTGAAAGCGTATGGTATTTTCAGCATTGGGCATTTGTTTTTTTGGGTTTTTTTGTTTTTTTTTTATTTTATTTTACGTTTATTTATTTTTGAGAGACAGAGAGAGATAGAGCACAAGTGGGAGAGGGGCAGAAAGAGAAGGAGACACAGAATCCAAAGCAGGCTCCAGGCTCCGAGGTGTCAGCACAGAGCCCGACGCAGGGCACGAACCCACAAACTGAGAGATCATGACCTGAGCCGAAGTCAGACGCTCAACCGACTGAGCCACCCAGGCGCCCCAGCATTGGGCATTTGTAAAGGAAAAACTCACTTCCCCTGTGTGTTTCTTAGTAACACACTATTATCACACTCACGGCACTTTTGACACCAGGTATGGGGGTTTTTCCCCACACCAAGTAATTTTCTGTGACACCAGCTGAGTGTCCTGCAGTTTAATTCAACACTGACTCTCTTTATCTGGAGTTGAGATCAGATATTGCATGGTAAGGGCTCAGTTCTATAAGACTGCCCCTCTCCCTCTACGTGCTTCAGATGCCACTTGCAAGTCTCAAGTTGTCACCTGTACTTCTGACCAACTGGCTATAAATTGGGGTTCTCATGAACCTCTCCTTGGGTTTGACAGTTTGCTAGAATGGCTCTTAGAACTCAGGGGAACATACTTGCTAGTTTATTATAAAATAATGTAATAAAGGATACAGAGGACTATTCAAGTGGAAGAGATAACATAGGACATGGTATGTGGTAAGGAGCATGGAGTTTCCATGCTCTTTTGAGCACACCGTTCTCCCAGCACTTCCATGTACTCACCAACTTGGCAGCTCCCTGAACACCCCCTTACTTTGAGGATTTTTATGGAGGCTTCATCAACATAGGGATGATGGATCATTAACTCAGTTTCTAGCCCCTCTCTGGAGAATGGGTGGCCGTGGCTGAGGGCTCCAGACTTCTAATCATGGCTTGGTCTTTCTGGTGACCAGACCTCATCTAGGTGCTCATCAAGGGTCACCTCATTTGAACAAAACCCATTACTATTATCCAAGTAATTCTTCAGGTGTTACAAGCTCAGTGTCAGAAACCAGGGTCACAGACCAAATACTAGAACAAAAGATGTTCCTAGTGCTCTTATCACTTAGGAAATTACAGGGATTTTGCTCTGTGCCAGGAACTGGGGGTAGAGACAAATACATGTATTTTCCATTATCTCATAGCATTTATCTTAGAAATAAGAAAATCACACAAGAATTGCCTATTTGGTGAAGCCTATGTTATTTTTACATTTCATTTATTTTCCTTTATTCCCTACTTCATTTCTTCAAGTTGTCAAGGTGTGATGGTTAATACAGAACTTGGTTGCTTTAAATGTTTTCTTGAATTGCAGAGATACAAGTTAACCTCATCAGTCCTGCCTAATTTGGTTTCTTTTTTACATAGTATATATAATAAATGACATAAATATATATATGTATTTGTTGGGGTTCCAACTTTTGTAACGTTTGTTAGGGCTCCCTATGTCATCTGCTTAAATAAACCTGCCCGTTAAACACTCTTACCTAGGAACTTTAAGAATGAATTGTTGTTTCGTTTGTTTCTCAAATACGGATTTTAAGTGCTGTTTTTTTGTTTTTTTGTTTTTCTCTAGGTAGAACTGAAGTTTCCTGCACCAGGCAAGCCTGGAAATTATCAGTATACAGTGTTTCTGAGATCAGACTCCTATATGGGTTTGGATCAGATTAAACCCCTGAAGGTAATAATAGTGACTCTTCAATAAATACGGTTTCCTGTTTGAATAAGTGCTTAATATACTAGGGAAGCATTTCTAGTTTTGAAATGTAGAGTAACAGAGGGAAAAAGATGTCATCTTATACTTCATAGATGATATTCTTGATGGCCTGCTCTTTCCATAATTAACTTAAGTTGTTGAATTAAAGGAGTATAATACTTTAGAACCTTGAAAATGAATTATTAGAAGGATTTAGAATGTTAACTATAAATTACTTAAGAGATACTCTTAATATGCTTTTATATGCTATAACTTTATAGGGCCTCACCAGCTGGGTTCTTTTTTTTTTTTTTTTTTTTAAGAAAAGCACATGTATTTTCCCACAGGTTCTTTTGGAGTGTTCATTAATTTCTAAAACTAATTTGTTTTTTATCAGAGTATATACTTTGTGTAAGTATCATTTGAAGCACATTCCTGTCAGTGTTTACCAGTTTCCCTTGAGGTTTTTATAAAAGGCATTCTTTTGTGTAAAAGCTGTATTGAAGTATTACTGCTCTGTGTGCTGGGAGTCCCAAAGTATAGGGAGCTGGTAAAGGCATGCCTGTTTTTCTCCCACGAGGATATCCTATTTCTTTCCATTGTCTACAGAATTTTATTTCAGGAAGCTGGAGGCTGCAAAAGTCACACTTGAGGTTTTCTTCCCTCAGCAGACTTCTTGAGACGTACCTTGTTGTTGCTCAAGAGTCACAATTATTAATCTTCCATGCTACAGAGTAAATAGTATAGTTTCTGTAAAATTAAAATGTCAAATTGTATTAGAAATTTAATGACATTTGCATGTTAGTAGATTGCCTTTTTATTTCTGGGATGAATGTCTGTTATAAGCAAATATGTTAAATTTAGAGTTAGAACCATAAAATCTATTTCTTTATAATTGTTGCAGTCAAAGAAAATCTTTTATCATATATTTCTTCACTATGCCTCCCAAATTTCTCATGTCTGCATTTAATTCTTCTTTATAGTTGGAAGTTCACGAGGCTAAGCCTGTACCGGAAAATCACCCACAGTGGGATACAGCAATAGAGGGGGATGAAGACCAGGAAGACAGTGAGGGCTTTGAAGATAGCTTTGAGGAAGAGGAAGAAGAGGAGGAAGATGATGACTAAGCAGTACTATGACTGGACCACAATATTTGCACATACTTGCAAATTTTTGCTGTTTCGGAAGTGTATAATAAACCAGAAACAGTGCAGAACTGCTGTTGAGGGAGGTATTAGTTCTTTACTCGAAATGGGTGCATAATACAACTGGGCAGTGGTGGTGCCTTGGTGCAGTCCGAAACGCTTAAGGCTTGTTAGAGCCTTTCACGTATGAATGGGATGGTGCATTTATTTCATCTGCAAACGATAATAAACCCTTTGTTATAACTGTCCAGAAGTGTGGGCTATGTATTATCCGATCATTTTATGGTCCCAGTAAAAGTAAAGGTACATGAAAACCAATCTATAAGTGAGCAACTTTTCTTTGTTTAGCTTTAGTTTGTAGCAAACATTAGAGGATGATAAACACCACACATACGTTTTAAGTAACATCTGCTCAAGTTTTAATCTTTTGATAAGCTCTATCATTCATTTTATTGACATTTTGCAGTGATACAAAACTATTTATAACAGCTCTATTCATAGCTTTAAACTTTTTATTTTTATCTATCTTGGTCATAAGTTGGCATTCTGTCACATTCCACATAATACAGAGGGCTACATTTGGGGATTTTCCTTTTCTTAATAAGCCCAGAGTTATTAGGTTATAAAAATGGCTTTTAATGGCTTAAAACATTTTTAAGCCTCTATTTTAGCAGATCAGTGCAGGATCTAATTCTTTTTATAAACTATAGGTCTAAAAATGAGTGTGGGACCATATGTTCTCTGATGTTGGTGACTCATGTTATTAAGCCTTTTTTAAAAGGTTCACTATAAAAGCTAAAATACATTCTTAGCTTTTAATCTACCTGACTCAGAAACCTTTTAAGGAAAAAAATAGATAACATGCAGTGGAGGCATTTTTTTGTATTCATTTTGGACTCCTGTCAATAAAATAGAAGTTTGACTCATTTTACATTTGTAACGGTGTGTCTTTTTACTCCCAGAGAAAGCATATAATAGGATAATTCATTCTTTTATTTTTCAACTAAAATATAATAATGTCCATTACTGCTCAAGTGGCCACTGTGTCTGTATGGCATAGAAAACCGTATGAGTGGGAGGAGTTTCCCCCTCACACATTGCAACCCCGAAGGATAGTGCTTATAGAGAGTAGAAATGTATACATGATGAATCACTGAGGTAAGATGAATATTTTTATTACTAGTTACTGAGGAAGCGTATGTCTGTAATATTACAGGACTGATTGTAATAATCCCTCTCCTATCAAAATCTCCATAGGCCAAAGTACTGTTGGAATACTGATTTGTGACCTTACTGATTTAAAAGGTTGCCACTTTCCATTCAGAATTACCACTGGTGTTTTGTTACTGCAGTAGTTGGAAATAAAATGTGAAAATTACCAAAAACATGAATGGTTTTCCTGGTTCTAAATTTAGGATGTAATATTTTCTACAGTATGTTCAAAGCGATTTCTCCATTGGAAACTCCATCACCTGTTTTTCTCTTTAAAGGTGTTAGACCCTTCCTTGGCAGGCAGAAGTGCCACTGAGGAGTTGTTTCTCTTCGCAAGTAGAGGGTTTAATTTTTGAGTTAGGTTTTGCCGGGAAGGTGAGACTGTCAGGTGAGACAGCTGCTGGTCACCTAAGTGTGGTAGAAGGCAGTGAGCCCTGCCCGTAGCATCAAGCAAAAGGAGTTGTTCAAGAAAACGTGTGAACGAACCAGTGTGTAATGTACACATGTCCTGGTTTTCTTAAAAGATAATTTTCAAGAAAGTATTTCTATTCTAGTAGCCATTTTGTCTTACAGAGGCTTTCTGTGTTTAGAGAGGATGATTTCACAACCTAAGAACTCACCATAGTACTTAAAAAAACAGCATCACCTTGACCTTAGAAAATGCCACTAGTCTGTTTTCCTTTGCCCTCTGGGTGATCTATATGTACTTCCCAACCAAGTAAGTACATTATCCTCTAATAAGTACTTTAGCTAAAAAAAAAACCCTCCATATTGCAATAGTGAAAGAACTGAGCCTTCGGTTTATGGTTCCCCCGTCTCTTCAGCAAATCTCTAAACTCCATATCCTGTCTTCTCCTGATCAAGATTTGATAACTGACCCTGGTTTGCATTAATCTAATGTAAACTCTTAGTGTAGTTTCAGTTTTGTTTTCATCAAGAAACTTTTGTCAACAGAATAATCGAGCATACAGATGAAAACTGTGTACACAAAGTGAAACATTATTTATGAAATTTATTTAAATTGTGTAGTATTTTTCTCTAAATCGGCAAAGTACCTATTAGAAGATAACTCTTCCATGAGGAGACCACACTTGAAAGTCTAGCAGTTATAAAACTTGATTGAGGCCCCATGGTGTTTGTCATGTGTGTATCCCAATCTCAAAAGTCAGATGTTCATGTCCTTTCTACAAAGTTTTTAAGTTTTCATGAATAACTTTTTAAAATTAAGGAGCACTTTGTGTGGGGTAATACCCTTACATTTCTCCCAGCTTGCACTAAGGGGTGGAGAAGGACAAGCCTGGCTTGCTGTTTTACTCTGCTGCATGGTGGGAAGCTCAGACCTTGGGTGGAAGCATTGTGGGTTGCGGGATGCCAAAGGACTGACTGATGGGGAAAAGATGTGGGAGGATGTTGAGGAATGTAATGAAACTCTGAGTGTATTGCTGACCATGATGTCTATCTAGTTCTTTGCTTCAACAAATCAAAACCAGATGCTGAAGTGTTCTTTCGCAACAGTTATTTCAAATGTAACTCGCGGTCTATGTATTTGAGGGGTTGTTCATCATATGTCATATATTCACTGCGTTTCTATGTTTCCAGGGCAATGATTGGATACTGGGGCTATAGAAATCAAAGAATTCATGTTCTTAAGGACTCACTGGTATCAGGACAGGCAGATGTGTGGCAATCCATTCTAAACCGTTTGCATTAGCTAATGGTCATTGTTTGGGATGCCCGCCCCCCCGTGCCCCCACCGCTTTTAAAGTCTTTTCCACTGTAGGCAGAGGAATTACTTTTTTAGGTACTAGCTGTTTTTTGTTTTTTGCTTTTCTTAAACAGGCAAATTGTCATCCTTTAAGTATTTCTTGAAAGCATTTTTGTCCCCAAATATTCTTACTTTATGAAACCCCCATTTAAGTTTGCCTTAAGATGAAACGGCTAACATTGAACCATAAAGTACCATTTCATTGGCTGTGTGGTGATTGGTCCTAATGTATCTTAAGTTAGTGTCAAACATCTTCACACATTTAAACTAGATATTAGGGCTATTTTGCAAAACTGTAAAAGCTATGATCTTGCACATTTTTCTGTAACTTGAGCTAAAAATCCAAATACAGCAATCCTTGGCATACTTTAGGGCTGTGGTTTCAGGTGGGTGTGTTATATATCCCTGGGGTATGCAGATAATCAGTCCGTGGGGAAAAGGTAAAATGGTTATTTGTATTTACTCTCATCCTTTTAAATTTCTATTTTTGTGTGTTTTATAATGTACATAATATATTGTACAATTGTACACTTATATAATTTGTAAATAAATAATACATTTATTGGTGCATTATATATTTTTTTCTGATTTCAGTGCATGATCAAAACATTTAGGCAGGCTGCTTTTAGGTACAGTTAGGGTGACATTTATTTTATTTTTTTTTTAATGTTTATTTATTTTTGAGAGAGACGGAGACAGAATGTGAGTGGGTTAGGGGCAGAGCAAGAGGGAGACATAGAATCCGAAGCAGGCTCCAGGCTCCAAGCTGTCAGCACAGACCCTGACACGGGGCTCGAACTCACGAGCTGTGAGATCATGAGCTGAAGTCAGCTGCTCAACCAACTGAGCCACCCAGGCGCCCCTAGATAGGGTAACATTTAAACTAAAATGAAGGTTTGGACTTTTGGCATTCACCGTTTGAGTTCACAGTGTGATGTTACTCTGCTGGAAGAGTTGGCATTCCGTCTAGTCCTGTAGGGCCCAGGAGCAAAGTGATACTTTCTGAGATGGAACTGAATAGGTTTGGTGATGGGGTTAATAGATGAGGGAAGGGTTCTAAGCAGATGTCCATGGAATAGAAGTGGGGTAGGTGGAGGCAGAAGTGCTAGGGACGACCTGTTGGGATGTCCAGCAAAGGCTACTGTTAGTGGTTCTGTTAGTGGTCCTGTAATCTGGCTGCTACAAATTAAAGGTGAGTATTGGGAAGGACTGCCCACTCTCTTTTCAGCATGAGGTGGTTCAGCATTAACCTGTCAGGCTGCAGATGCAAAGGGAGCTGTGTTCCTTTATCTTTCCGAACACCTGAAGTCTGGAAAGTGGTAGCAATGCATAACAGAGATGTGAGCAGATTCCATGAAGAGCAACTTCAAACAATTTCCCTGTAGTTTCCAGCCTGATTCCGGTAGAGGGCGATAGGGCCACAATTTTCAATTAAGCAAAGAAGGGTTTCGCTTGTGGGACTAAACCAAAATTAAATATGTGCTTTGCGATTTATTTTATTTCCACCTTCTAGGATTACCTTCTTCCCCTTTAACCTCTTTTAGTCCTATCTAACCATTGTCTCTCTTACATATGTCTTTTAATACATTATATTAACGTCTCATTTTTCTGGCTGGAAATATTAAGTGCATTTGCAACAAACTCCAGAAGACAATCCATACGTATTCATTGCACTGGAATTGTATTAGATCGTTTGCCTGAGAGAGGTGGAAAATCAGGTAGGACAAAGAAAGCCTTTTATTCTATGAGATTTAAGTTTCGGGGGTGACTGGTGTCAACAACTATGAAGGGTCAGACGCTGTGTGCAAGCTAACAAGTTAACCGGCCACAGTGTCATGGACGTTGGCCAAAGACAGGAGAGTCCCAGGTCAGAAGGCTCTCTGGCTGTGTGAGCTTCCTGTTCCTCATCTGCTCCTCTGGTCTTCCAAGTTCCATGGGGGCGATGCCGAGTAGCCCAGGTAGAGGCTGTCACAGCTGAGGAATTTCCAGCTCAGGAAGCCTAGTCTTTTAAAGGGCATGCAAGCAAGGCTGTCCAAGAGGGGAAAACTCTCTCTTCCAAGGTTGTTTCCTACATAAAAAGATAGTCTGGAACAAGAAAGCTCTGTGCCTCCTCTCACAAGGTGTGCAGAAACATGAGATTCCCGTGGAAAATTGTCAAAAGTCAGAATTCAAAATACATAGTACCTCTGTTTACAGGGAATCTTTGGACTTTGGTTGAAATTGAGGAAGCTCTGAAATACTCTCAAGAGTCGTGCTGGCACCTGGGATCGTCCTTTGAAGGAAGATTTATTTTTGGTTTTGACTGTGAAAAGTCAAAGTTAGAGATTATGCAGATGAATGGGGAGGGGAATCAAATTTGCTGATAGACATTTTGATCAAGAATGAGGCATGTGACTAAAATTTAATGCGAGACTTTAAAAATCATGATGATTGAGCTGCATTTGAGACATCCAATAATATTACCAGGATAACTATAGTCTCCCTCATTTCTATGCATTAGTCTGCATCTATATCTTTGTAAAATTAGTCTACTTACTTTATAATCGCATCCAAAGTTTCTCCAGCCTTTAAAAAAGAAATGCCAGTATGATTAACATCCAGTGTTCTCTTAGTGTCTCTCCAGCTTTTTTATTTCTTGATTTTCTGCCACGTCCTTGGGACTTCAGTCACTGGCTGTGCTGAACTTCTCTTTCCAAGTTTCTCCAAAAGCCTACAGTTGGTCTCCCTGACGCGATAGCGCACACACACTGAAACAGAGTGGAGAGGTAGCACCAGGAGGGGTGCCCCCGCCAAAGGGAAGCAAGGCACCCCTCCCAAGTGTCCTGAAGTTGTAGCTCTGCCCACAACCAACTCCTGGGTCAGAACTCTGCACTTAGTCTTTCCCACGATCCCCAGGAGCTCTGGCCCCACTTACCCCGCCCCTTCCTCACAAAACCCTGATCCAGGCCTATTATCATGGAAATTACAAGGATTAATGCGATTTTCAGTGAAGTGCTTTTGAGAATTGGAGATGAAACTATAGTGTTATGATTCACAGCATTCTTTCTTTATACACTGAAAACCCCCACGTCTTTCAAGTCTGCTGACTTCATGACAGGGTAGCTCACTAAATGTCAGAAGTGACACTTCAGGAAGAGCACATTTCAGATGGGAGTTTGGGTTTGGTAATACTAAAACTGAGTTTTGAGTAGATTTTTGAATGTGTGTTAAAGAGAAAAAAATTTAGAGTGAGAAAAAAAAATTTTTTTTAAAAGGAAGCCTTCCTCCATCTCAGTATGATTTGCAAAGTTTACTTTGCATTTGGTACTAAGGTATTTATAATCCTCCCTAACTGTCCACATAAACTGTCTGTAATGTGGACTAGAAACAAAATCCCTGGATTTTGTTTTTGGGTTTTTTAAAACATTTTTTAGTTTTATATGTTTATTTTTGAGACCGAGAACGCGAATGGAGAAGGGGCAGAGGGCAAGGGGACAGAGGATCTGAAGCGGGCTCTGGGTTGACAGTGGGGCTTGAATTCACAAACCCTGAGATCATGACCTGAGTTGAAGTCAGATGCTCAACTGACTGAGCCACCCAGGCGCCCCCAAAATCCCTGGCTTTTGGTCTTGGGAGCTACCTCCGTGGGGTGGCACTGTTGTGGGAAGTTAATGACTTCTCTTCAGCTCTAGTTTGAAGTAAATTGCCCTCCCGGTTTTACCCACAGAGGGCCAGGTGTTGATGTGAGGGAGAGACCTAGAAAGGAAGACCCAGAGAAGAGAAGCGACTCGTCACAGCTGGTGACAAAACTGGAGCAGGGATGCAGGCACCTTTCCATACAGGCTGCTGCACACAGTCCACAACCCATGTGTCTACCTGTGCCACACAGCCTCCCACAGCAGAGCCACCACAGGAAGCACCCTCCTCCCCAAAGGAGGTTCCTCTCGGGCTCCAGGGCCTGGGGCCTGAGGGTGTAGGGAGGGGCAGAGGACAAAGCTAATAGTAGACTATTGTTTGCTGTTCCAGGTGCTTGGGACACAAAGAGAACAGAACAGAAAAAGCAGGAAAAGATCCCTGCCATGCATTCTACCAGGGGGTAAAGAATGAACAATAAACATAACAGATAAGTAATGTAAATAGTATATCTGAACTTGCTAAGTGTAATGGAAAAAGAAGTAGAGAAAGGTAAAGAAGGCAGGGAGGACAGTTTCAGTTTTCATGGTCAAGACGGGCCTCATCTCAAGGCTGACATCTGGGTCAAGGCTTGAAGGAATGAAGAAGTTAGCCATACAGATTTGGGGGCAGAGTGTTCTGGACAGAGGGCAAAGCAAACACACAGGCTCCAAGACACTAGCGGCCTGGCCTGTATGCAGAGCACTCAAGAGGCCAGGGAGTGGATCAGAGTGAATCAGGGGAGAGAGAGCAAAGTCACAGCAGGTTGGGCCCTGTAGGCCCTTGTAAGGACATCAGCTTCTACTCTGGGTGAAGTGGGAGCCACTGCAAGTTTTTGAGCAAGGGAGGGACGGGATCTGCTTGTGTCTTAAAAGGATTCCTCTGGCTGTTGTGTTTAAAACAAACAAACAGAAACAGACTAAAGAGAGGGGGCTTGAAGCAGGAAGACCCAGTGAGGTTACTGCAGAAACCTCCCTGAAGTTTTTACATACATTACAAGGCAATAGGTGAGGTAGTATAGCTGTGCCTCAGCCCATATGGAGGCTCCGATGGTGTGGCAGCCGTGGACGGTGTGGCAGCCGTGGAGGCAGGGGGCAGTGTTTGGATTTGGGCTGTGCATATTTGAAGGTAAAGCCAGCAGGCTCGTCCAATGAGTCGGATGTGCTGCTATGAGAGAAAGAAGGGAGTAAGGATGCTGCTAAGGATGTGTCTGAACAAGTGGAAGGAGGGAGTTGCCATCAGCTGAGAAGGTAAAGGCAAGAGGTGGAACAGATCTGGGAGGAAAAGTTAGAAGTCCTGTTTTGATATGTTAGATTGAGATTCTTCATATGAACATCTTAGTGAGGCGGCTGGATGTAGGAGTCGGGTTTGAGAACAAAGTCCAGTTAGAAATACAAATTTGGGGTTAAATGGCATTTACATGCTGGATGGGATCCCTAAAGAAATATGAGTAGAGGTCTGGGCCCTGAGGGGGGTTGACATTACAGGGTTGGAGGCGGGGAGGGAGGAAGGCAGTGGTGCCGGAGGCAGAGAAGGAGAGCAGGAAAACCAAGAGTGCAGTGACCAGGAGGACACTGTGTCAGCAGAAGGGGTGCCATTGGTGTCACCTACTGCTCGGAAAGAAAGTAAAATGACAGCTGAGAATTGACCTGAGATTTTCCTAAGAGCAATTGCAGTGGAACAGCTGGAGGCAAAACCCTGTTCCAAGGGGGCTTGAACAGGAATGGGAACGAGGACAGGGTGGTATTGGGACAAAAGCAAAAAGGCCAGTGATACAGAAGGGAAATCCAGAAACAGCCCCGCACATGTGGACAGACTCACACACCTGGTATACGTGACAAGTTGGTATTGCAAAACAGTGAAGGAAAGGAAAGTGTTTTCAAAATGCGGAGCTGGGACAATAGGATACCCATTTGGGGGTGGCGGGGGAGTGGGGGGGAACTGACACATGGCCTCTGTCTCATCCCTTATGAAACAATTAATTCCAGGTGGCTTGTAAATCTAAATTTGAAAGGCAAAACAATGAAAGCTTTTAGAATATAAGAGATTTTTATGACCTCAGGGTAGGATACAAAGGGCATGTCTAAAAAGGAAAAAAATTTGAGAAATCGAATTACATCCAAATGAAGGACTTTTGGTCTTCAAAGACACAATAAAGAAGTGAAAAACGAAAGCCCTAGAGTGGGAAAAGATATTTGCCACACACGTCATTGACAAAGGACTTGAATCCATACTAAACAAAAGACTCCTAGAAATTAGTAAGAAGAAAAAAAGACAACTCAATAGGAAAATCAGCAATAGACTTGAAAAGACAGTTTGTGGGGCGCCTGGGTGGCGCAGTCGGTTAAGCGTCCGACTTCAGCCAGGTCACGATCTCGCGGTCCGTGGGTTCGAGCCCCGTGTCAGGCTCTGGGCTGATGGCTCAGAGCCTGGAGCCTGTTTCCGATTCTGTGTCTCCCTCTCTCTCTGCCCCTCCCCCGTTCATGCTCTGTCTCTCTCTGTCCCAAAAAATAGATAGACGTTGAAAAAAAAAAATTTATAAAAAAAAAAAAAAAAGAAAAGACAGTTTGTGCCACAGATCGAGTCCTTCAGAAACAGACACTGAGAAGGAGTTTGTGGTACCAGATGTTTATTAAGAAGCAAGATGTCGGGGCACTTGGGTGGCTCAGTCAGTGTAGAGTCCGACTCTTGATTTTGGCTCAGGGTCGTGAGATCGAGCCCTGTGTCAGGCTCTGCACTGGGCTTGGAGCCTGCTTGATATTCTCTCTCCCTCTCCCTCTGCCCTTCTCCTAATTGCATGGGTGCATGTGTGCATGCAAGCACACATGCGCTGTCTCTCTCTCTCAAAAAAAAAAAAAAAAATCAAGATTTTATTGTGAATAAAACAGGGATGAAGCAGGATGGGGTGAGAAAGGAGCTGAACTTTGATGTGGGTCTAGCAAAGCCTGGGCCAACCGGGAGGTGCTCAGGAGTAAATGTCACTCATTAGTATGTCCCATTTCAGGCTGAAATGGCTGTGCCTTTATAGCTCTGCCTTGCTCAGTCAGAGCATGAGCTCCCCAGGAAGAGCAGGACCTTGACAAGGTTCAAGGCCAACCTTGAAGAAACTGTTGGCTGGAGGCTGTCTCCTGACCATACTCCCTGCCAGTAGGCAGCATGTCATTCCTTGAAGGAGGATCTGAGTGCCATGTCTCCATGTGTGCTACACTTCACAAAACACTATGTCCTAAGAGCAATACAAATACGTGAACAGGTGTGCAAGTTCTTTATCCATCAGGGAGATGAACATTGAGATATCATCACTACATGTTCACCAGAATGGCAGAAGTGAAAGAGATTGGCAATACCAAGTGGTGGACACATAGTATGTTGAAATCTCATCTGCTCCTGGTAAAAATATAAATTTGTAGATCACTTTGTGAAACACTTGTCCATTAGTTACTAAAGTTGAGCTTATGCATAGGCAGGGACATAGTAATTAAACTTTCAGGTATTTAGCCAATAGAAATGCATGCACATATGTGTTGATAGACATGTATTAAGAATGTTCGTAGAGGCTCTATTCATAAGAGTCCCAAACTAGAAACAACCCAAATGTCGACTGATAATGGAATGGATAAATACATTTTTCTATGTTTATACAAAGGTTATGATAGGTAGCCTGCAAGATGGTCCCCAGTGATCCCTGCCTCCTGGTGCTCACATCCCTGGCTGGTCCCCTCCCACAATGGACCAGCTTGGTCTGTGTGATCAATAGCATACAACAGCAACGATGCTGTGTCACTTCTGAGATTAGGTTATATAAAACATTGTAGCTTCTATGGTGGGAGCTCTCATTCCCATATTTTCTCTTGGACTATTTCCTCTGGGGAATCTATGTCATGAGCAGTCCTATGGAGAGGCCCACATTAATCTCTTGTTAACAGCCATGTGAGTGAATTTGGAAATGGATCTTCCAGCCCTAGTTAAGTCATCAGGGCTGAAGGCCTGAAGGCCTGATAGCTTGACTACAACTACCTGAGAGACTATAAACCAGAACACCCAGCTAAACCACAAATGATTCTGGACTCTCAGAACATGGGTGATATGATAAATGTTGGTTTTCAGCTGCTAAGTTCTGGGGTAATTTGTTACACAGCAATAGATAACTAATGCAAAGGAATAATATAAGTTAATGAAAACAAATGAAATGCAGTTACATATGTCAACATGGGTAAATTTTACCAACACAATATTGAGTGAAAGAAGGCAATTACAGAAGACATTAAAAATTTTTTTTGTTGTTATTTATTTTTCAGAGAGAGACAAAGCACAAGCAGGGGAAGGGCAGAAATAGAGGGAGACACAGAATCCA